AATTCTGATATTATTAATCCTTAGTGTAGCGTTAAGATGTTGTCATAGAACCTGGTTTTTTGTCTTCTTCCTGACAAGGTGCACAAGTGTATTTCTCAGTACATTTCTTAATTTTTCATTTCTTGTGTTAATTCTGTACACCTTGTCAACTTCGACATTCGTGTCATTTTCCTCCCATTCTTTAAAAAAAAAAAAAAAAAGTGGGGGCTTCAACAACCCCTTCTTTAATGTCTTCACCAGGCTGATCTGTAGCTACTTAACAGATTCAGTCAATGAGACTACAGCTGCCACTGAAATATTCTTTCCAGATTTTTCCAACATCCTTTGTATAGCCTCTGGAGTAATCGCTATTTGCCCGGTTGACGTTCCTTTCCTCCCTTCTTTTGTGGCTTTCCTAATATTAGCCATTTCTCTCCTTAAATTTTATAATCAACTAGATAAAGCAACAAAAATAAGAGAGTCCTTTTTTTCTTAACTCTTTAAACCCTTCCAGCTCTCCATGATTCTATAGTCACATGGCCCTTATAATTTTGTTTAAGAAAATCCACCAATCAATCGACTTAAACATTCTGTTCCTTTGAAGATATTTAATTTGTTTAATTAAGTCCAAAGTACTTTACAATAATCAATATTCCAGATTTAAGTGGCCCCTCAATCCGTTTTAAATTGTCATAATTCAAATTAATAAGATTTTTGCTTTCAATTAATTTTAAATCCTTATAATTCTTTATATTCTATTTATTTAATTAAAAAGGGTATTTTAAAAAGAATTCAAGACTTCTTTGGACCACTTTGAGGTTTGCTTTCCTTCTTCTTTAGATACTATTCTCTTACATCCATCTTCTGACATCAGAAAGGAAGTATGTAAACATATGCATATGTCTCTGAAATACAATTTGTCTGATCCCTATGCATGGTATGTATCTTCCTCAATCTTGGGTCCTCTCCCAGGGCCTGGGAGTTTGAGGATTTTGAGCAGTATCTTAGCTGTTCCTGGCACTGCACTTTTCTGGACAGAGAGCTCTCATGATGTTGCTAGGATCTGTTGGAGCCACTTTCCCAGCTTAGGAGTCATAGCCCCAAGTGCTCCTACCACCACTGGAACCACTTTGGCCTTGACTTTCCACATCCTCTCTAGTTCCTCCTTCAGGCCCTGGTACTTCTCCAGCTTCACATACTCCTTCCAGATGATGCTCTCACTTGGCACCACTACATTTATCATCACTGCTGTCTTCTGGCC